AGGAATAAACAAAATTGGTATCTTCAGCATTGCTGAGCCTTAAGGCACCTGTCTTCCCACTTAAAATTCCCCAAAACCCCAAAATTCAGGCCCGTCCCACCCTTGGGGGGGGTGCTTTAAGGGGAAATTGGTGTTGTATGTCAGGGTTTAAGGACATCACCAGTCATGCACTTGGAGGCCAAATTAGATGCATTTTTTGGAGGTGCCACCCTGGTCACAAGAAAATTGCCCTACCTATGGTTTCCTACAAGGTAAACTACATGTTTCTTTAGCTATCTGCTCGCCATGAACTTTCTTACTCAACGGTACATTCTAATGGGATTCACTTCTGAGAAAAGGCATATAGAACTGCAAACATATTTCTGATAAGGCATGGATAGGATTGTATAATGTATTCCCCTCCCCCATGACATAGACGTGACTTCTTTTTCTCTTTTCTTTGCAAGGCATCCTTATAAAAAGAAAGAAGTCCAAACCCTAATCTTGGCAATTTGAATGTAATTATAGGGTTATACAAAATCACACGCTATCATTTTATAGTTCAGTTACCCCCACCTCTTGAATAACACAAAACTGTTATAGAGAGGAATATAACCTCTCTATAAAAGTGCGACTATCCCATGTGGGCTGCAAAAATCTGAATGATCTCTAGGTAGCCACAAAAAATTAGAGTGTTCTTATCTCTTTGCTGTCATCCTGTGGTTGTGCACATTTTTGCAGCTCAGCTTTGATAGCTCCAAGAACAGTGTGTGTGATTTTGTAGATACAGAACAGTTGCTCACCATAACGGAGGCCACAAGTGAGTAGCTAAGAAGCATTTTCTAAGACAGTGACAGCCATTCTGAATTCTCCCAAATTACCAACATCTCGGAACAGGCCTCTTTGTGAAAAACAATGTGTCAAACACTCCAGATTTCTTCCTTCCAAAAGAATTTTGCCTCACCCCTAAAATGGAGATGGAATGAAGCTGCAAATTGAGATGGGAAAAAAAAAATTGAAATACAGACTCATCCGTTCAGAGCAAAGTTAATAAGAATTTGTGCAAGAACCAGAACTGGTGCCTTTGGATATGTTGAAAAGTACACAACCTTTCAGGGAAAGAGAAAGGCCGATGACACCAGATAGGGTTATGGCCTATGAACAACTTTCACTTCTAACTTTCCCAAGCAGTAGACACAATGTTCTGCAGATCAGACCCTAAGACTTTCAGGCTGGTCTGCAGAGGAGGGAGAGGGATCATTTGACAAAGGGGTCATTTTTCGATTCTCCCAGGCATCCTTGGAAATATCAGCCTTCCCCTTGTCTCAAAGCACATCCACAAAACACATCTTGTGCAAACTGCTGCGAATGAGGAAATTAATGGGATTTTTGGGGGGGGGTGACAACTGAAGAAATTAATGGGATTTTTTTGGGCGGGGTTAGGCTTTGTTTTAAAAAGAGGTTATAGCTCATCTCTCTCTATGTGCTAAAAAGCAAAGTCCCTGTGGGATTATTTGGATGAATGCTATTGTGCAACAGAGAAAAATAGCCATGTCTTTTCACGTATGGTTTTGAAATGTTTGTTGGCCAGCATGTCATGTAGAAAGCTCCTGCCAGTAAAAGGGAGAGGTAATGGCTCTGTGTCAACAGAGGCCTGGAGGGGACTTTATTGGTAAGAGAATTGCCTCTCTTACAAGCCAGTATTCTGCATCTTGCTCCTGAGATGCTGAACTGAGCACAGTAGCTTCATCACCACCTGAAAAGGAGACTTTTGTTTAGACAGGCAAATCTAATAATCAGGAGCCTACAATACAGAAGTTATCCCATTCAGGTGGAATCTTGGGGCAGGTAGCATCCTTTGCCAGACCAAAGGAGAAAAGCAGGGGGATCTGGAGGGCAGAAAATGTGGTGGGCATTTTCTTCTCTGCCTGCTTGGTTAATCAGGGGGCCTTCCGCATAGTGCACCCCCTGAAAAGGCAGCCAACTGCCCCCCCCCCCCCATTAGCAAAAGACAAGCATCACCACAGCTTAGGCACAATTCTTAGCAGAAGGAGATTGGCCATGGAAGAATTATTACAACTGTTCACCACTGAGCATCCACTGCCTGGCTATTTCCCATTATTGAGTGGGGTCTACCTTGTCAAATCTAGAGAAGAGGAAAACTTTCCTTGTTTTCTACAACCCCATGATTGCTAGTTAAAGGTAGATGTCAGAGGATGAAATGATGCAATCCAGCCTAAAGCTTTCAATATGATCCCCAGCCGCAAGCTGTACATAACACACTTTCTCCCAGTCTCAAGGTTTTGCTCTTCTGTCTTGAGTAACATGTGAGAATTGCTTGAAATGGATGCCCCACAAATATCACACATAGACGCACTTCCATTAATAAAGCAGGTTCATTTGCATCCTGTAATCATCCAATGTTGTTTTTTCACATATGTTGGAAGTCCAATTGTTCTGGGATCCAGGCTGAAGGGCAGAAATCTTTCCATGGAGGTTTCCTTTCCAGAGATTCCCCACATGGGACATACACACTGGTGGCCTTAGTACCATGAAGACTTTGGGAGGACCAGAGATGTGACCTTGCATGTGATATATCCCTGGAGGAGCTTAGAGCCCAGCTTCATTTATTATTTTTACAATGTGTTGGTAGTTCGATACATCTCTGAATACTATTTGCCTAGACCTAAAAGCCATTTTTCTCTTACAGAGCTGCATGCTAAATGTGTCTGCTTGCTGCCTAACCAGTGCCCACATGGCGGGGAGCCCATTTCCTGTGTGCAAATTAGGACAAAAAAGATAACAGCAAATCTCTGTATGCTGGGAGCATTGAAGTGTTCCAGTATGAACATCGTAATTTTACATGAAGGGCGCTGTTCAAACTAAAAGATGTCATGGACCATCCACAGCCTGAATGGTTGGTTTTTGCTCTTGGCCTTCCCAAATTGCTTTAATTCCAGAATCTGAGCATCTCACTCCAGCCTTTCTTATTCTGCAATCAACACATTTCTGAAGTTCATGCCAGTTCCCCTTTTCTTTCACTTGAATACCTTTGAGCATGGATCAAGTGCATTGTACATAGAAAATGGGCAGAGATTCAATTGCACTGTCACAGCCACCTTCCTGACTTTTTTGACTTTATCCTGTGGGTGTCCCTGATCAAATGGGTTTCATCTGATGGAATTCAGTTTCGGATTGCAGATGTCAGGAGTAAGTGTCCAGTGTCCAGTCCCATTCCAATAATATTTGCTGTCTAAGCTGGACCCCAAATAGCAGCTGTCCCTTCCACATGCCTGAAGCTTCTCCCCATTCGGAGAAGCATTTTTGTACTGTTTTATGGTACTCCTCCTTATCTCTTAGGCCGGCAATTCGAAAGCTAGATGGAGTGCTAGACAATTCTCTGCCTCCCTCCTAGTTCTGCCCTCACCACATTTCCGTTCTGTGGCCAGGAAGCCAAACAGAACAAAGAAACACATGAACAAAAAACAGTCCACTTAGACCAGCCAGAATGTGATAGTACCATCATGCCACCTTTATCTTGGGAGGAGTTACATCTCAAGAGCTGGAAATTAGAATGATGTAGGAGTTTCTGCCAAGGGGGATCCACTCCCACCCATATCAGCTACAGAAGAAGCATAGAAAATCTGCCTTCACTATGTTTCCTTAGAGATGCTACAGAGCCAGTTAACTGACTCTGAATGCAAAGAATACAGGAGTACAACAGAGTCAGCAGACATCCAAGAATCTGAAATTGGTTTAGCCTTTCCATACGGAAGGGCCTCCAGACCTTCCTTTATCTATTTTCACCCTGCCTCCTCTGGTCCTGCCATAATGCTACTGCAGCAACATGGGTCAGCCTGGTCCACAGCGCAGCTGGTCTTGTCACTGGACAGTTGTAGTACCCTGCTAATCAAAGTGTAAGCTGGCATGATGCTTTTCACCCAGCTGGCTTCACATCTTAGCAGTGCTCAATGACAGAGGATGTCATCTGCGTTCCAAACAGATCACTAGTTTCAATCTACCATTTTCAATTTTAAAAAAATCTGAAAGCAGAAGCGGTTAGAATTTGGCAAACCAATAACCACTGACATAAAATAGGTTTTCTCCAACCATTTTCCCTCCAGATGTATAAGAACTGCAACTCCCAGAATTTCTTGCCAGTTCCCAGCATCAGTACAGTACCAGGTCAGATAATATTAGGGTAGGTGGCCCAATGTTGTGGCTGCTAATTCCTCTTCATTAGCAGGATACTTCTTGTTTGAATATTACGAATTAAGTTGCTAACTAGAAGTATTGGTAGTAGTACTACTTGTCAGGTTCGGTCAGCACGAGGTTTCAGGGAAGCACGGGGCTGCAGGGAAGCTCGCAGCCAGAC